GAATGATAGGGGGTCCCCAGTTGTAGGCAAATACACACTTACGTGTGTGTGTTTCCCCACAAGCCGACGCTTTTGAAACCAATTTTGTGAAAATCAAAGATAATTATCACTCTTTTTTTCGAGACAGGTCAGCCAAAACGTGCGTGGCCTTTATGTACGAAGCAGAATTAGAGTCAAACCGATTGGTACATGTTTTTGGAGAAGTTCAATGCATTTTGGTAGTTGAGCGTTTAATGTTATTTACAACAGAGCATTTTGAAATTTCCAGTGCATTTCCCAACATTATGCTCAACGTTGGAATGCCCAACATAAAACAATCGCAGGTTTTGAGTTCGATACACTTATTTCATATGAAATCTCATTTCCTCCGAATCCAGAGGGCATCCGATCTTTGTTACAGTGTTGGGCCCAATGCAACCCGAAGTTCGGAACTTTTTTACGATTCACCTAATGTTCGCCGAGCGCATGTACACAACACTTTGTCCCTTTTGCCTTCGGGAGGATGTATTTCGTTTAAGAAATCAAAAACCGTTCAGCGACTTGTTCTCCTGTCGCATTACTTCAACCTAGTAAAAATTCCACTTCCAAATTTATTGTCCTTTATTATAATAATAATAGTACATATCATGTATCCAGATTGCATTTTCCCACCCAATCAGCTAGCGGTTGTTCTTCGCACAAACACGTCCCGTCTAAAAGTGCAGGCCGGGGTATAACTTTGGCGCTGTGCTTGCAATAATGACGGCCCGGTGAACGCGCTAAAGGATAACCAATGTATTAAACGAACCGTTGGATTCTATATTATCAGACCAAATATCGGATAGAGAATGACGGAGGTTTCAATTTGTGATATTAGATAAGTAGCCTAACCTCCTAATTTTTCCACAGCCGAAATGTTCATATAATATGTTTTTAAGGTCTCATTCTATTTCTGCCCAGGACTAGAAAGTTAACAATTAAATTAGAATATTGTAGGAACGACGACACAGATTCCTCGTCAATACAATGCTACATGTATTATATTACAATCTCTGTCCTGCCATCACACCCTTAAAAATGATTGTTTTTTTATGCCTCAGTCCGTTCTTTGTCCATACCTATGGATCGAATTACCCCTGAATTCTTTTTGCTTGAATTACTCTTCTTCCATCCATGCACTAAATGCAGAACACTCACACAGGAAATATCAATCAGTGTTTCTTATAAAGTAACTTGAGTTTATATTGACATACAGTAAAATCTCGATAAGTCGAAGCCCCATAAGTCTGAACTCCGTTTACCTCGACGTCTTTCTGTTTTCCCGACAAAAGAATAGGCCTTTATGTACAATAAACTATCCGTAACTCGAAACGTCAATACCACTTAAGCCGCTTATCTCGAAGTTTTGGCAGGCCAGTTAAAAAAAACACACTGAAGAACGATGAATAAAAAGTGATAAAAGAACGCTTGCCTTCATTATGAGTCATTACTATCACGCACATGACTTTTCTTTGATGAACCGAGCATGTTCACACGGACTGCTATTGTCATGTCGACAAGCACTGGGTGGGCATCAACCGTAACCGTAAAATAAAGCCGTGTCCAAAACGGGCTTCCAGAGCTACGGCTAGGTCTATTGCCTGCGCGTCTCCATGTATTTCCAATGGAGTGAATACCAAGACCTAGCTCTAGACAAGAGATTCGGAAGCAGCCTAAATCAGGCACGAATGATGCGCACTCAAGCGCTTTGTACATGTATCACGTGACCCAGCACGGAAACCCTGACCGACTTGCCCGCGCGCTGGGTTATGGGGTAACAGACCGATCAAAGCAAATGAATGAATTCTCAAGACGTAGACACAGGTACCGGTACATAACTCCATTGGTTTATTGTTTATTAATGTACCACATAAAAATATGTTTAATAAAGATGTTTGAGGAAAACTTGCAAAGTAGGGATAGCCAAAAATCCACTTCGTGCGCGACTCAGCTTGCAGGCCAACTGCCGTAAGCCAGTACGGTTGCATGTGCACTGAAGCGAGTAACTTTCGATAACTCGAACGTCGGATAACTCGAACTTTTCGTCCATTCCCCTGAGCTTCGACTTATCGACATTTTACATGTAATTTTTGAAAAAGCAAATATCGAGGGACACTGCAAGTTATACTGGTGTTTCTCTGCATGCGCCAAATACTTCCCATAGGACGAAAAACAGCTTTAGGAAAGAGTTGGTCACTGTCCTATCGCAACTACCTGTCCGGTAGGAATGCACAAGGACTTTTATATGTTTATTTTATGAGGTTAAGTTTGTATGCGCATGCATACAAATTCAAGTGCATATATGCGCACTGCGACCGAAAACTTCTCCAGTTTCTGGTCAGGGCTGGCTCTAAAAGTGGTGTTGATACGCGGAATTTTTTTTATTATGTCTTCCCCTCACATTTTTCCCCTGGAAATGATGTTCGTGTAACGCACGATGTCCATTGCGACTGCATGGGTTGGTACGTACCACCACTACTAGACTGGTTCCTGTCCATATGTATAGTCTCCAGATGTCTTATAGATAATAGGGACGGGGACCACTCCACGCCGCTACCAACACTGAAAAAGACTGCCCCCTCACTATTTACTGTTTTTAAAAGCGTCTTCAGCTTGCATATTATGTAAGGCTACTTCGTTGTCCGATTCCCAGGTGTAAATGTATAATACAGAAATGACGTCATCTGCAAAAGAGTGCCCGACTAAATATATTGGCCCCAAAGGGACTCCTTTACTGTACATATTACTCAACTGTACCCATCTAAAACACGTTACAATTACGCAGTTGCAGTATTCCTGTCGATCAAGAAAGTTTGGCAGCATTTAAACACCGTTTTATGCCACATACATATATATTTGCCGATGCGCAGGTCTATGGCGACGCCGACCAGAAACCACAAGACCTTTTTTGGAGGGGGGCCTAATTAGCTAACGCGCCTTTCCATCTGCTCGTCAACACTTGCGCCAAGCGTTGCTTATCTGTTAAAATCGCTCTCAGGGCAATTTGACGAACGCAACGCACACGCCGTGTATTATGCTAATGAGTCGATTTTTGTGTCCGTGGAAGTGAAACGCATGAAGGCATTGTGCACACAACGCATCCAAATACTTACATATGGAAAGCGCCTTTTCACAATAAATATAGCAGGTTCAGTGATCCCTGTGTATGTTGCTTATGTAATTTTGCCCGTGCTCAGTGCGTTAGTTCTCCTGCGACTGGACAAAGCAATTTCCACGGATTTTTTTTACAAGCAGCCGGTTTGAGGCTCTGCATGCCTTTGGCAGTAGCGTGCAAAGAACGAATGGGACTGGCGAAAAGTAGTGGTTCCAGAAAATGTTCACGTTTTAAAACGTTTTAGTAATTTTCTCAAATTCTCTAGGTTGTCGAGCGTTTTGTTTTTTGTTTTGTTTTATTTTTTTTCCTACAAAAATCTAAAATTGTCACAACAATATCACTCTCTAATCTAATTTTTTGATGCACAAAATAAAAATTAAAAAGCAAAATAAAGCAAACGAGGTCAATATAATCAGCAGAGGGGCGAAAAAAATACGATTCGGGACATACGCACCAATGGGTATGCATTGTGTGTATTACCTGAGTGAAGTCAACCAGCGATTCGGTTAGCCTTGTAATGCCAGATTGCCAGGTAGATTGTCCACTTACCAACAAGAAGCAGTTTCATCGTGTTCTTTACATAATCGTCGTATTTCTTCTTCTCATCCTTCAGATACCTGTCAATCTGTCTACTTCGCTCTTTTTGGGTAACCATTTCCGGGTCCGCCATGTCAGATGGAATAAAAGTTACTACTTATGGTAGTTTCAAATTCAACCACTTCCCGATGATAGTTCAGCCAATTTGCTGAAGTGACATTTCCGATGGAGATAACTTGTAAAGCAACACTGACACCAACAAACAGACCACAAGTTCTTTCCATTTAGTCATTATGCAGTCGTACGAGTGACCAAGACACCGCTGGAAGGTTCCAAGGCCTGTAATTGGAGAAAGGCCAAGTGGTTTTTAAAATGTTAGTATTCCTGGCAGTCCAAGTTTGGTTTGGAACTTGGGACCCACCCAAGAGGAAACCTGAAAGAACTGATATCTGCCACAAGAAATAGCCTGTTACATATTGATCTTCTAATAATCTTTCCTTGCAAGAAATTTCTCACATCAGGAGAAAATTATGTATTCACGTCTTGAAGACACAGGCTTCTGCGAGTTATTATCTCGCCGCGGCTAGATGAATGTTGAATGTGTATCTCACCGCGGCGAGTTATAAGATCTTGCAGCGGCTTCAAATTGATATCCCACCGCAGCAAATATTTCGATAGTTTCATAAGTCATATTCAGCGCACTGTATTCAAATGTATCTTTAGGATGAAATGGTTTCATGAGATTTCGTTTAACATTGCTAATTGGAACAAAAATTGATGTAAAATTTTAACAACGCCCTGCGCTGCATGGGTGATTTGTGACAAGTGAACGCATTGATGTGAGGTCAAAGAGACTGGGGGATTCAATCCAGTTGATAAAAAATGGGTTCGTTTTCCTTTCACCTTCACTTCATTTTTCTTTTTCCTGCTGAAATCTCCTCAATTATAGCTGACTTTAATGTCAGAATGGTATCAACATCGAGGTTTGGTCCAAATGGCAAAACACATTGGCTAAAAAAATACAAGGGAGTTGTCAGTTTTTTTTGGGGGGGGGGCGTCTAGTTGAAACATTTAAGTGCGGGAAGAGGTTCAATTTATTTCATTTCTCATTTTCACTTCTTTGGCTGTTATCTTTTTATTTTTTCCGTTCTTTTCAGGGTCCCCCCTCGCGGTGTTTATGTAAATAGGATTATTTAAAATAAAAACTAAAAGGCACCGTAATCCTTTCAAAAGACAGTCTACCAGACAGTCAACGTAGTCTACTCCACTTCCGGATAAAGACATTCATGCCCCCAAAAGGGATTTCTTTTGCGTGTTTTTTGTGTTGGAATTCGAGCTTGGCTGAAATGTAACATTCCCTTTTGTTCCAATTAGCAATCAAAAACAAATCTCTCTGCATTTCACCCTAAAAATACATTTGAAAATGGCACCCTGAATAGGACTTCTGAAACTATTGAAATATTCGCTGCGGCGGGATCTTATAAAGTAACTCGCTGCGGCGAGATACCCATTCAACGATTTATCTCGCCGCGGCAAGATAGTATCTCGATTTGTTTTTTGCAGGTGGCCATTAAACACTTCCGTAGAAGTCTGTGTCTTCAAGACGTGAATACATAATTGTTCTTCTGATGTGAGAAATTTCTTGTAAGGAAAGATTATTAGAAGATCAATACGTAACAGGCTATTTCTTGTTGCAGATATCAGTTCTTTCAGGTTTGCTCTTGGATGGGCTAATTGCATTTTAATACAATAATAATTGCATTTTTAACTTGGATAACTCGATACCAAAACAATTTCCCTTGTAATTATTTTTGGAAAATATAAATGTTGCTTTAAGCTGTGTTTCTTTAGGGTAGACCTATACTGTATTAGTACATGTAATAGTTTTATACTTGGGGGCCTTGGCCTTAGCCTTGAGGGTTAAGCCTTGGCCTGGGGGGGGGTCGTCCATAAAGTCCACGAAAGGGGTGTACCATTACGTACACCATGCTTACAGAGAAGGGGGGGGGTAAGCTAGTGCATACCGTCTGCAAACCAGAAAGTTGTCTTTAATGAATCTTCATCATATCAATACACTTTTCTTCTACAAATAACTGCCAGAATCAGCTTTTGTGCGTCGAAATTCAAACACAATATCCTTCATCTTCCACCCCACCATTTATACTCCCGTGTCAACACCCATTATTAGTAAACCGCAACGTTCCCATTGCGTGAAGACTGGCAGCGTCTTCCGGAAACTTACAGGTGCTCTCTACGCTCAAAGGAGAAAAAAGGCACCGGGATCATTTGTTTGTTTTTATTCAAAAATATCTTTTTTAACATCAAGTAAATATTTTCCAGTCGCTATTAGGCCTACTTTGGTCATTTATTTAAGGATTTGGAGGCAGCGTGCGAATAACAGTACAACAGTAGGTGTACAATGTACTGTGACATTTAATGATGCTAAAGCAAGGCACCCCGAGAAGTCAACAGATGTGGAATGCGTATGTTACGGGGAAGGGGGCGGGAACCACTGCGTACGCCTTGCGTGGGGGGACTTTATGGACGGCCCCTTAGCCTTAAATTAAGGGGCTCAAAGCCTGGGCTTTGGCTTTTGCTTTGAAAGTCAGAGCCTTGGCTTTAGCCTTAAGAATCAAAGCCTTTGCTCCAAAACTGATAACAGGTTTCGTGCCAGAGTGAGTTTCACTCTTAGTAGATTAATATTAAAATCTTCAATAAAATAATTTTTCTTTGATTCAGATGCAATTTTTTCCAACCCTGGTTCGAAATCTTCTGTTAAGGTACGAAATCATAAACCAGGGGATGTAGACTAAGCCAATACAAGAATATTACTTGTATTGGCTTTAATCTACTATTTAGTCAAATTGACAGATCGGGCAGCAAAACAAGTTAATAAATCCTGTATACATGTATGTATAATTATACTGTACTCTCATCCGAGTGAAAGATAATTTATGGTTGTTAGAAGCAAGAAGCTCCTTCTCAATCGTCGTTGCGATATAATTCTAAAGAAAATCATAGGTATTTTGTACACATAATTCACAATGTATTTAATGTGTCTCCTTCAGTTTTACATACCCTTTCTAGTTTAGTTTTATTTCATCTGTTTTTTTTACATTTTAATTTAGATTTACTTTCCAACTGTTAGGTATATTTTTATCATTTTGCTTTGTGTATTTATTTTAAAATTCACATTTAGCCACTTTACTTTCGTTTAAACGTCATTTTTAACTCTTTCCGTATTATTAAAAAAATTTTAAAAACAACTTCAACAATCACAATTCATGTGAAATGTGCAATTTTGCAAAACAGATTAATAGTTAAGAAACCTACGTATCATACTTCCCAGATGAATGAGATGATATTTTAAATGCATGTATTTTGAGGGATATCAAAGAGGAAGCATGTACTTCCAAGGCTGTAAACGTAATCTTCATTTGAAGAGACAGTGGACTGTAGTTCTCAAATCAGTCATTCGAGAGACTTGCTTCTTCGTGGTGTAAAAGGTCCCCAACTCCGTACAGCCTTTGCCAACTTAAATTTAGCATATTTCCGTAACTTACATATAGATATAAATCCCTTTGAAAGTGTGTGTGCCGTGCGATACACCGATGGTGTCGACTGCATGTCTTTGTGTAACTTCGTGTAAAGCACGTGTTGTTGTGAATAAAAAAATAGTTGTGCACCCAGCCTAAAGCTTCATGTACATGCAAATACCATAGCTAGCCAACGCTGGACAAATGATGGAATTCATCTCACGGCTCTCACAGCATCAGTAAAGCCTTTTTGTTCTTTTGTACAATATGGACAACAACAGTGGGAGAAGGGACGTGGTTTAAGTAAGAGAAACGACTCAAAAGGTTTCTCCTTAACTTTTAAAAATGTACGATTCACGGCATATTTTACAGTTTTTGCTTTTAACTGGCGTGCAACTTTGCTATAAATATGTGAGTTTTTTTAAGACAAGCAGGGCACAGACATTTTGCCCTGAATTGATGGCGTGGTTGGTAAACAACCCAAGTACTTTGAACAAAAACCTACGGGCGACAGACTTCCAATTGTTTCCTTTTTGTTAAACTTCCAGGATATAACTATCGCACTTTCACATTCCTTTCAACAAGCAATTCATTTATCGTTTTAATTAAAGCTTATTGAGACTAGGAGGATCTCAAAAGTTTTTGTTAACTGATTCCTCACAAATATGTAATTCGAATATCGAAAAAGCTCAACACACATCAGAACCCCAAACAAAACAAAACAAAACAAAACAAAACAAAACACAGAGCCAAAATACAAGCAAACTCTGGAACGTCTACAGTGTACAGAGCATTTATCATTATATGAAAGTACATAAGAAAATACCACGACTTTTGCAACGTATGGAGCGGTTCACTTTAACTGAAAATCGCTATCTCAACAGAAAATACTACCGGGTCAAATCTAAAAATGGGGTGTTAACCGTATTGAACGTCTACAACACTCTATTTTTGAGAGCATTTCTCACCATGTGTTACGTTGTAATTTAACGTCGTGTTTTTTTCTGTGTCTGTTAATTCACGTTTAATCTATAAGAATAATCGACACTTTACTGAATAGGATGACATCACAAGAGTGGTACATTTAGAGAAGAATGACCAGGGAAGAGGACAGAGAGTTGACACAATATGCAACATTAAGCGGGCGGGTAAAGTTTGGCACAAAAAGCACACGGATATTGACCGAGTTCTTACCTGTTCGGCATGATCACAAAACACCATAGAGCCAATAGTAATCATGTTAAGTGTCGTACTGAATGCACCTTGGTACAATGGACTTCACACGGACATTCCGAAAGTAAAACTCGACTCGATGCAGACGACCTGAAACCTTAACAGTACCTGCTATGTATTTCCTCCTTGCTTTAAAAAACATATTCATTCATGGATATCAATTCCTTTTTCAGGAAAGGTTCACGAACTCTCCACGAATACGAAGCATAAATAACTGATGCTACGAGGAGCTTTTGCATATCTCAGTTGCACGTTCATTCTAATGTCACTGCATGCTCTACTGGTTTACAAAGTTCAGATTCTATTTTTAAATTCTTATCGCTTTCGTTCCCTTTGTAATATTTGTGTGGTAGTCATAAATGGTTGCAAGGTTATATTGTAGATATGCAAATATTCTGTAATCCCGGTTGGCTTAGAGCTATTTTAAGATGACCTATGGACCTTACATGCCTGCATCTTTACTGTATATGTCACAAAGTGGTAAACGAGTGTTTGCAAAATGAAAACTGTTGGTATATAGTAACATTTATTTATTCTTTTCTAGAATGAATCTAAAAAGATACCTTTGAAACTCTTGAAGAAATACGAAAGCCCCATAGTGCCATCCAAATGCATGTATATATTTTCAAAAATTTAAGTTTGTTTTTTTTCGAAGTTCTTTTTTTATGATATAAACTTTATCCAACTTAATTTTTACGAGGATTTAACGACATTTATTCTCCAGTTTGTTCTTATGAGATCCATATGTAGAAACACTTTCTATTTTTGGAAACAGATCTTTTTTACGAGATATATTTTTCCAAGTTTGTTCTTTTGAGTTATGTTTTTGGATTTCCTTTTTAGTAGGTATAAAATCAAGTTTGAAAGCTAACTTCTCCGCTAATGGTTTGGCGCCCTCTTTCCTTTTGGCTGTTTCATTGTGATTAGCCCCGTTGATTTGGATGCTGAATAGGCCCTATTTACATTTTTGTCTGTCCTATAGCGATGTTTTAGCATGAATTACTGGTACGTTTCAGCGGTATTGTTTCGAAACTGTTAATATCAAATACAGAACTTTGTAAAACTGAGTTTCTTCAGAATAACTGGTTCAACACGCAGTATAGTTCAACACAGTATGTTTTTCAATTTGCAAGAAACACATGTACATGTATTGAAAATAGTATTTGCAAAGCAAGAAACGAGACTCCTCTCAGTAAAAAGGAATGCAAGCCGAAAATTATTTTAACAGGGCTTGGATAAGAAATACTTTATTAGACACTGTACTACTGCTTTGTTCATGACACTTCCCCTCATTTTATCATTTAGTAAAACAAACCTGGAATGTTGAAAAGGTGTTATTTTTCCGGAAGAGGATGCACAAATGTAAAAGAAAGAAGCAAGGTGAATCATAGTTTGCAGTGTTTGCCAAGAGGAGGTTTTGTTGTGGAAAAGAATAAATCTATTTTGTGACAAAGCTGAACAAGCTAGGCATTAGCTGTAATAGTATTTGTTTCCCCTCATATTTCCTGCAGATTTATAAAAAGTAAGTTCTCAAATGTTTGTTTTTTTAAGAAAATACTGGAAGCCGATGTGTTTTATCCTTGTGTTCACAATGTTATAGTCCAGTAGTTCTCAAGTACCAAGTTCAGAGCCAGATTTTGAACTGGCTAGAAGAGAATAATTTAACCAAAAAAAAATGGACATTTGGTGGTAAATGCAATGAGGAAGATTACAAAATAATTTAACATTTTAAACACTCCTGGTTACAAATTAAGTTTAAAGTATTTTTGTCATAAACCTTAATTTTCAATAAACAGCTATGGTCAGAAGTCATTTTATTTTGCAATTTACTTTTTTTCATTCACCATCCAATGCCCATGTTACCCAGCTCTGTTCACTCCCTCCCAACAAGTTCAGTGTTTGGTACTAAACTTGGAACGCAGCAAGTACACCCACATCTGTTTTACATACAAAGTGTGGACATTCCTTTATTCTACTGTGGTTAAGGAAACATAAGGAAAACGCTCCTTCTTCCCCAACTGGGATAACTCCTTCCAGCTGGATTTTTGATGATGAGTTCCTGGAGAGTTCCTCTTCATTTTGCCACATGTAACTTTTTGCAATATTACATTATTGCATTCTGCTTTTTGTACATCTTTTATTTTTTTGTTTATTTGACCTACATTTATTCACTGTACTTTACATTTCTTTCCATTGAGAATGGTTTATTTCTTCACGTTAAATGACCTCATGAAACGTCACAGTGTATTGTACTTTTTGGCTTTTTATCGTTTTTTTTCTTCTTCTCGAGACCAGCCTGACAATTTTGATCGTTTTGTGTATTTGTGTTAGTCCCTGATATATCTTATGTTTGTGTTTTCACAATTTGCTCGAAATATGTCTAATGATGAAGACTGTGATTTTATTGTGAATGATAATGAGTGTAATTATCTTGAGTGTAACGATTTCAATAATTCTACTACTCCGGGTACGTTTTCCCATCTTCTACATGAATTCTAGGAGTCTCCGTAGACATATATTTGACATACAAGACTGTCTTGCTACACTTAACCATTCCTTCTCTGTTTACGGCTTCACAGAAACTTGGTTCAAGGAAGCCCCTCCGTCTTACGTTCATATGAAAAACTACCATCTTGTCCATTCGTCCAGGTCAACACGACATGGTGGAGGGGTTGCCATGTTTGTAAGCTCCTCGTTGAATTTTCGCATCCGTGAAGGATACCGTACACGATATGGGGTCGATGGGTACCCCCCCACATGTCCAGTCCCTATACACACTGTAGACTATTGTTACCTAACACCCCCCCCCACAAGTCTGTAAAGAATTCCTGAAATTCCGATCGAACAATGACCAACACAAAGGCGGGGGGGGTTCTCTTCGCTCCATATCTTGCATCATATGCCGTGAAGACTTGATACCTTCTGCACCTGATGACTTCAAATCCATTTTCACTGAAATTCAGCAAGACGGTGCTTGCACCTTGATTTTTGGAAATGTCCACAGGGCTCCTGGTACTTCTTTTGACACATTTGACTGGTGCTTTCATTCTTGCCCGGATAAATTAGTAAAGGAGGGGAGCTGTTTACATAATGGGTGACTTCAACGCCAATACGACGCTTTTAGCGTGGATCTGCGCATTTTCGCGTTTCAAAACGAGGCTGTATGTGTCAGCTTCAATTCTTAATAAGATTAGACGATTGAAAGTAAGGAGTCAAGACACAAAATACATAAAGGTTTGCTAAATTCAGACTTTTCAGGCTGCAAATTTGGGTGGAAGAGTCTTTCAGGATAACTCGACACGTAAAATCAAAAGAAAAATAACGGCAATTTACCGCAAACTAACGTACCAGCGATGGTCGTGTGTCTGCATGTGCAGTGGGCGTGGTTTAAACTGAAGTGGCGTCACACTTACGAACCGGATACCGCATATATTGTGTCGACTCCGGGGCCGCGCGTGACAAAGTTCAACACAGAGAGCCTTGGTTTCGATGCGGATACGCGCAGACGGCGCTAATGTGAAATCCCTCTATGCTGCCTTTTCTTATGGCTTCCGTCCTCTTATCACCAAACCAAGTCCATCACTCCTAACACTGCCTCACTCAATGACAATGTACTAATTCTGATCTCGACACCACAGCTGGAACATTGTATTCTAATATTACTGACCATTATCCACTTTTCTAATACACTCCATCTTGCTTCCAGAATCCAGTGCGTCTTCAAAAGACGGGGCATTAATGATAATTCCCTTCTCTCCTTTAGCTCTGAGCTTTCTAATACTGATTGAAGTGAAGTCTTTGATGACCAAGACACTGATTCTGCCTACAACTTATTTCTCTGAACGTTGTCTTCCCCCTGTAACCACCACTTTCCCTCATCTCTAAAACAGTTGGGAAATCCAAGAACTTTTCAACCTTGGATTAATCAGTCCATCATCGATTCCAGCCTTTCCAAAAACAGGCTGCGTAGGAGATTCTTGCGTAATGAACTGAAGCAAACAGGCATAAGATTTTTCGCAACCGATTAACAGCTACTATTCGCTCTGCAAAGAGAGATTACTACGCTCGTCAACTTCATCGAGGAAAGGACAATCTTAAAGGACTTTAGAGAGAAATAAACTTCATTCTCGGCAAGAAGAAAGATACTTCCTCACCTGATAACTTTGTCCACGGAGGTAACATCCTGTCCGCCCCTGCAGATATTGCCAATTCTTTTAACACTTTTTTTTTTTACAAGTATCGGTTCTTCCCGAGCAAACAAAATTCCTTCCTCAGCCACCAACTTTACCGACAGACTTCACAATCCTATTGCGTCCTCTGTTTTCCTCACACCGACTAATACACTAGAAATCGTCCAGACTGGCAAGAATCTTAAGAATGGACGCAGCTGTGGATTTGATGAAATTAGCACCACTGTTATTAAATCTGTCTTTCCCCTTATTGCCGAACCACTGAGCTATATTTTCAATCTTTCTTTTCTATACGGTTCTGTCCCCCTGAAATTCAAGATCGCCAAAATCATCCCTATTTTCAAAAGCGGTGATAAGCGAACCACCAATAACTACAGAACTATTTCTATTTTACGGTGTGTTCAAAAATTCTTGAGGGGCTCTTCTACAATCGTCTTCCACAATTCATCTTTCAATTTCAGATTTTGTTTGGTCAGCAGTATGGCTTTCACTCAAGGCACTCAACTGACATGGTTCTCATCCAACTTGTCGACAAAATCAACACTGCATTCACTAGCACAGAGTCAGCTATTGGTCTATTTATCGATCTCTCTAAAGCCTTTGACACTATCAATCATTCTATTCTTCTCTCTAAACTTGATTACCATGGTATCAGGGGGTCCCGCCCACCTGGTTTTCCGACTTTCTGATAGGTATCAATATACTTCCATTAAAAATGTTTAGTCTTCTCAACCCAATATTCAGTATGGGATCCCCCAAGGGTCCATCCTTGGTCCTCTACTCTCCTTGATCTGGGCAAATGACCCCTGTTTTTCTTCTTCAACCCTAAACTTTACTCTCTTCGTTGATGACACCACGATTTTCAATTCCAGCCCTCACTGGTTGCAATTCTCAATTCTGAATTTATCATTGTTTCCTCTTGGTTTAAAGCCAATAAACTCACTCAATTTCTCCAAAACAAACTTCATCTTCTTTAGCAAGGTTGCTTGTTCTCTAGACATAGACTTACCCCCAATAAAGATCGACAGTATTCCCATCACAAGGGTCAATTCGGCGAAATTCTTAGGTGTCTTTGCCGACCC